GGACTTTACAGTGAAGGAGGAGACATCTTGTGTCCAGCAGGAAAACTTTAGAAATCAACATTTGCATATTCAGAGATTCTGGAGGTTTTAATGAGGTAGAAAGATTTTAATATGGAAGTTGTACTTTTATTGCAGTAAAAACATATCAGACACACATTGTTCCAAGCAGACTATTTGTATTTGTCTTAATAAATGTCCGGAGGGGATCTTTAATTTTGAACTTGCTCCCATTAAAGAAAACTAATCTGTTGATAACAGAACAGCGAAGCCAAGCAGATTTAAAAGACAGATGTTAAATGAATGTTTTTACTGCCAATTAGTGGCCTAATACCCTCTAATTGGCAGTGAAACAAGCAAAAGCCAAGTGATTACAGTATAATTTACCTGTCATTGTAAATTAATTAAAATTCCTGTAATGTCCTTTTTCGTGCTTCTCAATATGTGAAACAGCGCTGTTGGAAAAATATGCTGAAATACGTTTTCACTGCCAACAGCAATAGAACAGATCTCACAGCAGTGTTCTTGCTAGCTGCACATCTGCTGTAGCAAGCTTATGCACATACTGTTAAAACTTGTCTGGATACATTCCCACTGTACACTGACACTACAGATACCCAAGTTCATACAGTGTTACTAAAAATACCTCATGGTAGAATGAATGGCAATCATTTCTGTAGCTAGGCAACTGCCATGGGCAGCGTGAATGAAAAAGGGGTTTTGGTCATGAATGCACAGTTAAAACAGCAAACATTAAAAGCTTTCCTGAGTCATGAGACGCTCATAGTTTTAACAAACACACACAAAGGTAATACATTAAACAAATCATTTGTCATGGGTTTGACTTTATTTACTAGTATATTAACACATTACATGCTACAGAAAATAAAAAGGTAATTTCAATTGTCTTGAAAGAATATAGTGTTATAATAAAATGGCACATTTTGATATTAACACAATTTCCACTGGCATTTTGCCACCCCTTCCTTTTTATGAAAGGAAACGAATGACTTCATGCAGGGCTACTAAAAAAATACTTCTTGGTGGTTTCATTGGTAACACAATTTGTCAGATAATGATTTATGTAGCTAGGCACCTGCCACGTGCAGTGTTGAATGACGAAGAAGCTTGATTTGATCATAACTACACAGATAAAAATGGACTGTGTCAAAAGCTGGCAGTAAACACAAATGTTACTTTCCTAGACCAGATTGTTCCAAGAAGTCAACCAAATATAATAATAACAGTAAATATCTTAATGTGGGTTTGGAAAATGGCCAACTTGAAAATGAAACGTGAAAGAAGGACAGAGCTCTTCAGGCGAAGCTACAAGGTCAAAGACTATTATGTGGGAGCAATCAAGGATAATTAAAACCCCTAAAAAATGAGAACATACATCTCTTCACACTCAGTGTAAAAGCAGTAAGTGCATTCTGTCAAAAATAAAAAAAATCAAATTTCATCTCCTTTAATCTCACAAGAACTGGCAGAATAGGCTTTTCAGAAGGACCCCATCTCTCTGAAAGCTGTTACAGTGCCACCTAAAGGTGACGTGGTGTGCTGGCCTGAAATGACATCTGAGAGGAATCCCTCGCTCGGAAGAGACAGCGAGTTCTCGCGGCTCAAATTCAAAAGGGGCCCGAGTTCACTCTGGCAAAGCTCTAAATGACACACCCAGCCTGCTTCAATCCAAACCAGTCTGCGTTCTGATACACAAGGGTGATGATTGTCAGGTGTCAACAAATAGATTGATTCAATCTCAACAGAAAACAACGTCTTAGGGGGAAAAGGCAATCTGGACTACAACATCATTTGCTGTTCTATTTGCCTGATCTCTTGGCAATTCAGACATGGCAGAGGGTAGAGATAAAACAGCAACATTAAAAGTCCACGCTGGCTTGGGCATCATAAATGGACAAGGCTTTAAATAAGAGTGGCAGAGGATTGAGTGAGGAAGCAAAGGAAACGCACGCTGATAAGACGAAAGAGGATTAAAAAAAAAAAAAAAACGGTGCAAGGTGGCAACAAGACTATTAAAAGGTTAAAAACAAAGGGCAGGTACCAAAATAAAACCCACTTTTCTTGGGACACATTTGACACAGAGCTAAGGTATACAGAGTGAGCTGAACGCAGAGCACTAATGCGATGAGACGGTACAAACTAACATGGTGGACAGCCTTCATTCACTCCGTTCAACTTCATTCATGTACATCAGACGCAGAACGAGAACACCTGTGGCCTTGTGGGGGGCTGGGGGCAAAAATATGTAGCGCCCCCCACCCTCCATCGAGTGAGTCAATCCATTTTGCACCAGTGACCCATCGCTCCCTCCCAACATGCAGCAGTAAAAAGTGTACATCGAAACCACCAGGACAAAATCAGCTATGAAGAAAACTACAAAGATAACAAAAAAAACAATATTTTAGCATGTAATGATAATCACATAGTACATCATTTCATAACAATATGTTCTTTTTTTTCTTTTTTTCTTACAAAAGACTACTTGGTGGTACTTGGTCGTAGTAGGTGGGTGGGTGGGGCTGAGGTGAGCCAAGGTGGGAGGTGTGGAGAGGTTGAATGTAGTGTTGCCTTTATCTCCACCTCAACAATAGTCTTGAAGTTTCTCAGGTTCACTGCTGGGGCCTGCTCTACGTCTATATCTACACAAAGTCGCTCCTCGCTGCTGGTCTCCACACACTTTTGTTTTATCCATTTGATATTTGGTGTGTGTGTGTGGGTGTGTCTGTGTGTGTTGGGGGTAGGGAGCTGGACTGGTCCTTGGTCTGCTCCTTGAGGGGAACTGTACACCTCCAGTTCACTAAGCTGTTTCAGCTGTATTTGAGCCTCGCTGCTCTCATCGCTCTCCGTCTCTCTCAGCATCTCCACATTATGCTGCATTCATGTCCAATAATAACAATGGGTAGATGCATACTTTTAAACTAGAAAATGCCTTAAACCACAACTTTAAGTGGAAGATTATTGTTCAGTTCAGGTTTAAAGAGGTAAATGTTCGGTGTTGTAAATTCCTATAAATCCCTTCAACAATTTTAGAATTAAATATTAGTCAGAACTTCTTTGTCCCATCACAGCCAAGAAGATCGCAGTTTGCATAAATGAAGGGCAAAGAAAGAAAGAAAGAAAGAAAAAATGCTGCCATGGCAGGTTTGAGGGAACGACTATCATCCGTGTGGCTGATATTGCAACTTCGATTTTCCAAATTCATCACTCACTGCGTGCATCCGCTGGAGGTGTGAGACAAACAGATCAGGAGGAAAAGAATATTAGGGAAATGTGCTTATTTGCAGGCTAATGAGAGGACTGACACAATTCTCATGTTTGTACTGTAAATATGAAGCTACCGCCAGCAGGCGATAGCTTAGCATTAAGACTGGAAGCAGGGGACGAAGCTAGCCTGTCTCTCTCCAAATGTAACTTTATCTGCATACCTGCAAAGAGTTACAGCAAGCTATTTCTTGGCTGGGCGCAGTAACTTCCTGTAGTACCTGCTGGTTGCCTGGCAGCTGGTCCTGGCCAAGAAATACTTTTAAACTTTGGTTTTTTTAACGATTTGAACAAATGACATAATGTTTTAATTAGTGAGCTTTAAAGGTACTGGTAGGTGGGTTTTGTTCGCTTTGGACCTCCGGCTTCCATCTTTACATTAAGCTAAGCTAAATGGCTGCTGGCAGTAGCTTCATATTTACAGTACTGACACATGAGAAGTATCAATCTTCTCATATAACTCTTGGCAAG